ATGCTACTCACAGAGTGAAAAAGTGTCAGGAAGGATACAAGTCATTACAGCCTGGCTCATAGCTTATCATGGAGAAAATCAGAAATGTGTACCTCCCATCCTCTCCACCACCAGATAGTGTCCTCTGAGCTTTCAAGGGAGGTTTAGCATACCTACAGCTTTCAGCACCCCACATCTGTGAACATACCGGTGGTTATTTATCTCTAGTGCCTTCCGGCCCAGCAGTGCTCTGTCTGCCCATGCTCCCCTCCAATCACCTGTAGAAAAGCAAGTAGGGCTCAGCATGGGGAGAATAAAATCTGCCTCCAGTTCTTCCCTGTCCCCCAACGCAGGCACCTCCCATTAGTTGTCATCACTGTAATTATCACCCTTTCAGCCAATGGTTCTCAAGTCCACCTCTGTGTTGTGGGCCTCTGCTCCCATCCACCCTCATTCCTGCACAGGGACAGCAGCTTTCCAAAGCTGTATTTGTCATCTCCTAAACCTGTCTCTGTTCTCTTCCTTTCCTTGCCTTCGACAAATCACATCCTTCATTGCCTTTAATGAATTTTCTTCCTCTGTTGAGAAAAGCTTGGGGGACAACTGTGTGTCAGGAACACTGACCACCCCAGAAGCAGTGCAGACATGTAAACATTTCTGAAAACCAGGCAGGGCCAGGGACTCAAATGTGTATATCACTTCTCAAACCACAGCAAAGCTGCTCTTGGAAGTGTTACATCAGACTGTAATTCTGCTGTTTCCCTCCAAAACATTGGCATCACCACATTTTTTTCCTCTCTCTCCTTATTACCTTATGCCCAGTGCAGTCCTCTCTGGTCTGCCCAAAGTACAGCAGCCAGCTGTCCTTCAACCACAGCAGCTGCCATTTCACTTGAATTCAAGCTCTTTTCCTTGCCTTTAAGGTCCTCTGCATCATCTTGCTTGCTCCAGCTTTCTCCACCGCACACAACATTTCCTTTGATGTTTCACTGCTTCATTCTTCCAGCTTCAGGCCTTGCTTTGCCTGTCTGTGTGGAATTGCAGCTAGTGAAAATATACAGCTGGAAGATTTCCCAGTTAAAAAATATACATTTTGAATGAACTGAAATCTTCTTGCAAAATCATAATACATGCAACAGAAAATAACTCAAGAAAAAAGATTTTTTTTTCATTTTAGAATATGCGTAAATATTTTAAAATGCAGATATATTTCATTCTTTTATTGGTTTAATGTAAAACGTTTTATTTTTTTTATATGTGCTGTTAACTTATCAGCCTAACTAATGTAAAAAGCATCCAATGGAAAATGGGGCATCTTTAATTGATTGATGTTTTGATCATAAGAAGAAATAATGAAAGCAGAACTTATCGATTTCTAAAGAAAAAAATAAATAGAATGGAGTTACATTATGTTGTACTGTACGTCTGTAACAGCAGGACATACTATTGACATTATTAATTATACAATTAATATAGAGAGAATAGAATAAAACAAAGTTCTATTACAATAATGTTCAAAAGTTAATTTGGAAAAAAAAAAACAAAGAGGAGCTGGTCTGTCTTGTATAATAAGACCAACTGGGTACTTGGAGCCAGGGTGATACCATGGTCATTGGTAGCATTTTGAATACCTTAAGGGACAGGTCTTTTCTTTCTGACTGTGCTACTGACTAGTGCCAGAGCCTTCATTAGGTTACTTCCTTTTTTCCCCAGCCCATTTTCTCACCTTTTTTTTTTCTCTGCCTGCAATATCTAGCTCTTCTCTTCTTTGGGACTCTCTCTCACTATTCATTTATGCAACAGCCAGCAAGCTGGAAAGCTACTTTGGATTGGAGCTGCTAGCTGCTACCAAAGAACAGGTTAATAACTTCAGTAACAGCCACGCTTTGGATCTGCCACATACTTGTTCGGGGCTCTTGGGCAAGTTTCTTGCATACTCTGTACTCCTATCAATCAGGAAAATGGTGCCTGTTGAGATTAATGGGTGAAAAGCATACATTTTGGCTGACTTCTAAAGCACCACAGTTTACAGTACTACACAAAATAAAAATAGTTTAAAGTTATTGAAATAAATAAAAAATTTCAAGCCTGCCCTTGTTTCAATATTTTATCCTTGAACATGTATTCTAAATGCACTAACATAGGCTTAAAAAAACCCCAAGGTAGCAAAGAAACTCTGAAATACCTCTACTTGAATAAAAGCTACTTAAATTAATTGCAAAGAAGTATCAGTAGCTGTGTATCAGTAGCAAAATCTTATTTCGCTCAGAATATATTACTAATACATTACATGGGGAGGGACATAACCATACTTCAGTATACAAGTTGATGTTAGCTGAAGGAAACAGAAAAACTAAAATAGTGCGATTCAGAAATTATATCTCAGCTTCTGTAAAAAGCTGTATTAGGGTGTGTTCTCTGATGGAGTCATCTGAACTTTTAAATTTTTTGCTTAAATCAGGGGTGGCTGTGAAGAAGGGGATTTAGCAAATGCATTAAAAGAACACCTCTTGTTCATGTGCTACCTTTACTGTCTTCAAAAAGAGCCCTATTTGATTTTCGTTTTGTAGAATGTGTTTGTAAGCCCTATCACCTCTTTTCCTGTTTACCGCAGCTATAAAATCTTGTATTTGCCTCAAAACCTATTTTGTAACTGGCAGCTGCCCATTCAACACCTGCACATCATCAAATCTCATCCGTCTCCACAAGTGATGGAGTAAACCTTCAGGAAACTCCTGAGCCCGAGAGAGAGGACAAGAACACGATAGAAGGAGAAGGGGACCGGGGCCAACTGAGAGAGTAGAAGCTTCTTGACGTCAAAGGTAAAGTCCATCCACATTTAATGTACTACTCTTAAAAGTAATGGGCTAACTTTGATAACCAGGGAAAAGGGATCTGCAGCAGTTATCTCTCTCTTGGTACCCTCTGGAAAACTGCTTTTTCAGTTTGACTGTTTTGCCAACTGATGTGGAGAGGGGAGAAAATGGAAAATGCTGTGCCCTGGTCAGAAACTGTCAAATGTTGTAAAGGTGGTCTGAAAGTCTGAAGTGGAGAATCTCCAGTCTCTGGTCAACCCAGGAAAATAAACACATTTGAATTTTGCAAAAAACAGACGCATCATATCTATAAATCTATATCTATGTATCTATCTATCTACTTATTTATATATCTACATATCTATAACACAGTATTCACTATTTTTTGAAAATTTTAAACTTTTTGTTGCTGAATCTATGGACTGCTTTTAAGGGGTCCCTGGCAGGCATTTAGGAAAAGCAAGCCATTTGGTGTCGGGGTCACACACCAAAAGCATTAGCAAGAAACATTTTCTACCCATATCTGTTGCCACATGAACAGCCATTACCTAGTGACTCAAAATCTTGATATTTAGGGGTTTATGTACAAAACCGAAGTTGAAACTAGTAAGGCAGATATCCTACCTACAGCTGAAAACTCAATATAGGAAAGAATTACACTATCAATGTAGATTGCAGCATTGCTTTTCTCTCATTACTTAATATTTCTGAACAAGGAACTCCATAGGGTTGAGTGCTGTGTTTGTAATATGTTTCTCTGCATTGTATATGCCAATTGACTTTGGTGGAAGCAGTCCTGATGCTCCAAGAAAAGCTGAGGCAGGTCAGGAGGCATAAGCAGCCTCCATATCTGGAGCAGAACACAGACTCCAGCACCCCTCTGTGCTGTGCTTACAGATCCTCCTGTTTCCCTGCACAAAGTGGCACAGATGGGCAAGAAGGGGTGAATTCTGATTCCTTCCTCATCAATACGAAAATTTCCACCATTCTCTCTCTTTTCATATACTCAAGCAGCGATTTTTAACTCAGGAGACCGTGTCCTCTACTTTTAATGAATTAATCACTGTCATTCATAGGATTGCTACAGCTTAATAGCAATGATTATTACAAATCATTCTTCCCTTCTGGAAACTCTTTGTCTCTGAAGCCCTTTCAAGATGCGATCAACCTGTATGCAAGCATAAAACATAGGTGTGGTGCGCAATAAACATGCAAAAGTCTTAGTGGTGACAAGGCAAACTCCTTTGAAATAGTGTCTTTTGAAAGAACCATTACTTCTTAAAATGTGAACACTTAACTCTGCAAATCAGATCCCCTTGATAGGGGTCATGAGGTGACATGTGAAAAAAAAAAAAACGTGGCTAAAGCACTCGCTCACTTTTCGAGAGCGGGTCAGGCTAATTTAAAGCTGTCGTCATCACAATTCTTCAAAAATGAGAGAGGAAACATCCCACAAATTGTTTTGGTTTTCTCTAAACTAGAAAACTGAAGTTGGCAGAAAAGGCAGGAGCAATAAATGGCTGTGTTTAAGCAATAAGCACAGCCAAGCTGCTCACCAGCTAACCTGGAGGTCAGTGGCAGCCTCGCTGCAGCAGCCCAGAGCTCAGCACTGCAAGTGCTGCTGTGTAGCCCTGCAAACTCCTTGCTGCTGCAGAGGTTTTTTTGTATATGATCCTACACCCGACCATGGAAAACTAGCTTACATGTCTCTGCGCTCCATAGCAGTATCTAGCCGTGATCAGCTCAGCTAAAAATGTGGTTATGCTGCTGTGTGATGTCTTCTGCTGTTGAGACACTTTTAAAAGGGTCTATATGCTACAAGCTAAAAGCCTCCTCACCCCAGGGACCACAAGAAAATCCAGATTCTTAGATTAGATGCAGGTTTTGTGCTATTTTGCACCATTATGACTATTCAGAGCATGGATTTTTCTCTATCACTGTAATGAAGAGGGGCTAACTCACTGGCACTGAGGTAGTTTTGGGCAAAACAGAAAGCATCCCAGTGCTCACACAACACATATATGGGAATGATTGGCAGGCTGCAGGTGCAGCCTTTTGAGTGGTACAGCTGCTCTTGTCCAGCCAGTGAGACTGAGACCACATTCTGCAGTCCTTCTCTGCCTGGAGGTTGACCCACAGGCTCAATGCAGCACAGAGACAGACAGAGGCCACCCTGGGAGTCCTGTGCCAGGGCAGCCTGCCATTTATCCCTTGTTCTTTCCTGCACAGGTATCAGAGATGAAACCCACAAGCCAGTTCCTTGGCACAACAGAGTACGACTATGGATACGATGAAAACACTGCTCCATGCAATGAAGGAAGCGGCTTTCGCAGGTTTAAATCCCTCTTTCTGCCGATTCTTTACTGCCTTCTGTTTATCGTCTGCCTTCTGGGAAACTCCTTGGTCCTTTGGGTTCTCCTGACAAGGAAAAGGCTGACAACGATGACTGACATCTGCCTGCTGACCCTTGCAGCCTCCGATCTCCTTTTTGTTGTGCCTCTCCCTTTCCAAGCCCACTATGCTTCAGACCAGTGGGTTTTTGGCAATGCTATGTGCAAGATAATGGCTGGCATTTATTACATAGGTTTTTATAGCAGTATTTTCTTTATAACTCTCATGAGCATAGACAGGTATATAGCAATTGTCCATGCTGTCTATGCCACGAGGATACGGACAGCCTCTTGCGGCATAATTATCAGTTTAATCCTGTGGCTGGCGGCTGGCTTGGCTTCTGTACCCAACATCATGTTCAACCAGCAGCTGGAAATTGAGCAGTCTCTGCAGTGTGTCTCCACATACCCCCCGGGTGACAATACCTGGAAGGTTGCTTCTCAGTTTACTGCCAATATCTTAGGCCTCTTGATTCCCCTTAGCATCCTCGTTTGCTGCTATGCCCAGATACTGAAAAACCTGCAAAAATGCAAAAATCGGAACAAGATCAAAGCGATCAAGATGATTTTTATCATCGTCATTGTTTTCTTCCTCTTCTGGACTCCTTTCAACATTGCACTGTTCCTAGACTCCCTGCAGAGCCTGCACATCATCAATGACTGCAAGGTGAGCTACCAGATAGCCCTGGCCCTACAGCTGACTGAAACCATCTCCTTCATCCACTGCTGCCTGAACCCCATGATCTACGCCTTTGCTGGGGTGACATTCAAGGCCCATCTTAAAGGACTACTTCAGTCGTGTGTCTTCTCCAGCCCTGTTGGAGGTGCCAGGGCTGGTCGGTCTTTTTCAGTGCCCACCCAGCTCTCTGGCTGCTCTGACAGCATAGGGTTCCTATGAGCTCACCTGAGCTGCCGCTTTCTGGTGTGAGTAGTTGGCCTAAGGTCTGACATGGGCCTGGAGGTAGTACCGTGTGTTCAGCATCCTCTTGGGAGGACGAGTATACCTGCACCTCCTCTTGGGATATGCTGTGAATGGCAGCATAGTAAGCGGCAATATTAGCTTCCGGTGCATTTGTAAAATGGTGACCTTACAAGCTTGCCACAGAATGATTTTTAATTATGTTTTAGAGCTCTTTTAATACATTTCAGCAGCAGGGTGCTTCCTCTAGCAGTTATTTTCTCCTCTGATGAAAGTATTGCTTCTGACTCACCCGCAAATAAGCTTTGCCTTGTGAAAGCTGTTCCATACCTGAAGCCCTACATCCCTCGGACAGGCATGGAACACCCCTCTGGGAGGCGGGGAAGGAGATAGGCATGGGATTACTTCACATTGCAAAGAGGGAATCACCTCAGGCACTGTCACTATTCCCCCTTTGCTTCAGCTCCCAGATAAAGAGGCCGGCCCCTCAGCTCGGGGTCCCGTTGCTTTGCTGTGGGACCTTCCCATCGACACAGTCAGAGGCTCCCTGGAGCTGCTGCTGCCCAAAGCAGCCTTTGGTGGTGACACCTTCAAAAATAGCAAAGAAATACCTCCAGGTGCCCCCTACACTGGTCACTCATAGAGGCCCGTACACTTGAATAGGTCATCAACAAAGCAGCCTGATAGACTGTGTCACTGCTGGAGACATATGGGACCCCCAACTCTGTGTCCCCAGTGCTCGCTGCTAAATGCAAACACCACAAAATGACATGTAGCATATATGTTCTATTTCTTTTTCCATACATCATTGTTTTCTGCCATTTTAGAAGTGGTTTCTCTGAATAAACATATAAACTCTACTGTTTTGTCTTGGTTCCTCAAAGTCTTTCTTTGAAGCCTAGATTAGGATAAGGAAAGGATGTTTTTACTGATTTTTGAGCCACTATCATCTACAACACATCTGATGAAACTGAGAGGCGCCTTGGAGCTCTTCAGCAAAATAAGTCTTGCCTCCATTTTCCTGATGAGAAGAATTTGTTCTCAATCCCAATAAAAATTCACAGTGAAAAAACAACATTTATGTTGAGGTAATATTACTGTAAACAAAATTTTGAAAGTTAAACAAGAGAGTACCCAAAACCAGGAAACACACAGCCTGGGTATGAGCAAAGATTGTATTTTCTAGGGTAATTAAAAAAAAAAAAAAGTTTTCTTAGTTCTGCCTTTCCTTCTGAAAATATATTTGCTTTTTTTCTCTTTCTTAAAAATTTCAAATACATTTCTAACTTCAGTGCCAAAACTTTCTTGCCATTAGCTACATAGCATAGAAAAGACTTTTAATTTATGATAGTGTAATTAACATTTCTAGTTTTTTTTCCTCAACAGATAAGAAATGCCTTGCGGCTCAATTATCGTATTGTTTTACTTCCCAGAAGACTTCCAGGTATTTAGAAACAAAGCCCTCTCTTTGTGTTTTTCTGTGGGGTTTTTTTTTGTACTGTGAAGGCACTTTAATGATTGAATGAAATGAAAAGAAACATGGGCCACCATCTCAGGTCATCTATCTCCCCTCTGTGGCCAGAATTTTGGCATTTGGATAAAACTATTTCTGTTTAAAATGTTCAATGACATTTACCATCATCTTACCTGTTGATGTTTCAGATTAAAATGGAAGGGAGAAGAAACAGAAGTTATACGTATATGTTCTTTTTTAATTGATACTTTGAGAAGAAGGGAAGATGGAAATATTTTCTGGCCAGCTGTCACACACTGGCACTTCTTCAATAAGCTGCAGTGATGCAGCTTAGACAGCACAAAACTTGGCAGTCAGGAAACAAGTTTCCTGGCTACAGGGAAGAGACACAACTGACTGATCAAAGAGGGGGCCACAGTCCAGTCCAGACTGCATGGGACTTACAACAACAACAAGCTGCCTTCAAGGTTAGAAAGTATCTGTGGAGAGTCCCCTGCATTTATTTAGGCCTTTAGATTTCAGGGAATGGTCATTTCATACCTGGCAGCATTTCTGATAGCTTTTTTTTTGCCGATTGAAGTTGGGCACATGTGAAGCAGCAAGTAATTTGCCCTGATCACTTTGTCTTGCCAACAGTTGTTTAAAAAAAGACCTGAACTAAGGAAGGACTGCTTTTAGGTAAAGACAGTATTCAAGGACTCTCTGGTTTTAAAACCCAGATATGGATCATATCCACAATCTTGTTAGTCAGAAGAAATAAGGAATAACAAATAAGGTCCCTAAATTCTTATTATTCGATAATTGTTTAATTGCTGAATTGCTAATTTCAAAGAGACAAGTCGGTCAAAAGCGTTGCAATTTTTCAAAGATCATGTCCCTTTTCAGGTTGCTATGTCATTCAAAGTGATACACACCAGGTATGCCCCAGACATGTACAATTCTTTCCAACACTATAATGAAATTCTGCAAGTGTGAACCTAAAGTGTCCCAAAGAGACACTTGCATCATTAACGCAGCAATGTTTTCAGCAGTAGACTAGGATTCACTCTGGGTTACAAGACAAGGGCCAAACTCTTTGGTTTCTCTTATTTTTTTTGTCCAGCTCCCACCAAAATCTTACTCTGTGTGTGTGTGTAATAGCAGAATTGAGCCCAAATGGTATGTGAAGCCTTAACCAAAGAAGTAAAAAAGTAGGTTTTGCTGGACTTGCTGCAAAGTTTCTTCCTCCTCCTCCTTGTCTTCCACTGCTGCATTTGAAAGACCGGTATTTAAGAAGCCAGAAGGGTAGATCCAAACCCCCCATCCTCTGCTCAAGCAGAGTCGATCACTCACAGATCAAGACTGCAGATTCTTAGGACACTTAGTCCTTCAGAAGGCTCTTTCTCTGTCTAATATGGCTGCAAAAAGGAATAATACAAGTAGCTATTTTGCCTCTTTTACTGTACAAGCTACCAGAATAGACACACAAACATACCCAGCATCACCCCAAGTACTCATACACAGCAGAGCTCTCAGAAGTATTGTACCTCTTATCCACATATGAAAATTTATTTTTAATACTGTAAATCCACAGGATTTTATGCTACTCTTACATGCAATGGAAAGAATATACAGAGACACTAAGGAGTGTTCAAAAAATTTTGCACTTCTACACACTGAAACAGTTCTGGATAACAGCCCTACACTAGTAGGATACTATTAAGGAGCCAGTAATGACATATTTTCTCAGCAAACCTTCCCCCTCTGTAATGACCATGACGTTACAGTGTGGGCTACACCTGTAGTTAACTCAGGTCAGCTGCCCTGGCTGACTTGAAACTGCTAATGGCATGCCCAGCATGGCTGGGCTGTGATTCTATCCCAGCCAAACCAGGACAGCCTCAAACTGTCCCCAGGACTGATATTTGGAGAGTCCCTCAGATTCTTCAGCAGTTCAGGGACACAGATGTCAGTAGTCTGTGATAGTAGGGGCATGGGAGATTCTGTGGCTTGGGTAGGAGATTTGTGACAAAACCAAATAATGTCACCAACTGCTGGGAACTCAACACAGGGTGTCTAAAAAGAATGTGGAAAAAACTATGTCAACAACAGTTGCTGTATAGTAGCAGATAAAATTGTAAAGTGAAAGATCATCTCATCTCTCAGCAGGAGGGGGAAACCTGAAGTTATGACTTGGCACTGCTCTTGGTTCCAGGAGCTGTTTTAGTCACTCTCCTACTCGGAAATTTCAATCCACTGTAATATACTCTTGAGCTTTCAGTTTCCTTACCCCTTTTTCTTTCTTCTGGGGCACTTCTCTCCCCAGTCCTTTCTTCACAGCACACTTCTTTGCTTCTCCTTATCAACCTGCCAGGTTGCTGGTTCTCAAAAGCTGAGGCTGAGCAAAGCTGCCCCATGCAGAAGGTTGGTGAGTGAGAGAGACATTGTTGAATGTGCAATGGGTGCAAGCTGAGCAAAGGAGATTCCACATTAACATAAGGAAAAACTTTTTCACTGTGAGGGTGACAGAGCACTGGAACAGGCTGCCCAGAGAGGTTGTGGAGTCTCCTTCTCTGGAGACATTCAAAACCTGCCTGGATGTGTTCCTGTGTGATGTACTTTAGGTGGTCCTGCTTTGGCAGGGGGGCTGGACTAGATGATCTTTCAAGGTCTCTTCCAACACTTAACATTCTGTGATTCTGTGAATTCCTCTAGCCTCACTATCTCCAGCTCAAAAATACAAAAATTTCCTGAAATATATTACTACATCTTCTTAGTATTGTCTTGTGAAATATTCACTGAATATTACCTCTTGTTACTGGGCAATATAACAAGGGAGAAACTTCTGTAACCCTGTAAACAGAGACTGTGCTTTCCGAGTGTCTTCTGTAGCCCTGTTGTCCACAAACACAGTTACTGGTATTGTTATTGCCAGGCCATAGGCTTTGTACTGAGTATGCAAGGCCTCAGGACTGAGGCTTACCAGCCTGGCTTTGTCTGAACTCGACTTGCCTGAAGATTTATTTTTGCTTGGTTTAACTGCAACAGCAATTCTTTTGAGCAGGTGTCTATATTTAATTTGTCCTAGTTTTGCCTATCTTTGTTTTTATATAGGTAGTAGTAGTAAAGACTAGTTATTATTTCTAACATGACTCTAACATGATGTTGCAACATAGAGAAATTCAGTCGTAGTACGATAGCAGAGGCCTTGAGAAGTAGGGACAGAGCATGATGTGTAGAGGGACGCTTTCATGAGGGATAGACAGGCTGAAGCCCTTGACCACAGGACTCAGAGGAGCAGTGGAAGAGTAAAAGCAGTACACTTAGAAAAAGGGCTATAAACTAGGAATTGTGTCTACAACAAATTTAACTATTTTTTTTTGGTTGTTGTTAATATTATTATCAGCAGGAGTAGTAGTAGTAGTAGTATGCCTAAAAGTATTCATATCTTTTTTATTTTTTTCTCTTTTCTTTCTTTTTCTGAGATGATTAGATCTGGACTAATAATGATGGTTGGATTAGAGAT